AAAGAGATAGGTGGCTAGAGGGAATGCAGACAAAGACGGCTCTGGAAAGCTATAGATTAAACAAAACAGTTATTGCCAAAGAAAGTATTTATGACAATTCTAGGGGAAGCTCATTGCTGTTTGAGGCGAAGACGGGTGCTCTGCGAACCAGAACATACAGAGTGAAGTACCAGGAAATGGATACAGTGTGCACTGCTTGTGGAGAGGAGGACGAGACGGCTGAGCACCTGATACTTTACTGTAAAGGGCTTCACCCTATGCCTACCGAAGACAACATAGATTTCATAAAGTCATTGGGTTTTAGAGACAGCGAAGGGAGAGTGGATTTCAAGACTGTAGAGATTACCAAGCAAAGATTAAGTGAATGGTGGCAGAAATCGAGAGAAAACTAGGTATTTTCTTATTCACTGATGGCAAGGGGGTTTCGTAGCCTCACTTTCTTTGCACTGCGGAGTGAATATAGATTTCACATTTAAATATTCTAAGCTTAAATGGTAAAACAAAATGGCTAGGTGGCGTAAGCTACCGCCCGATCCAAAGGGCTCAGCCGTATTCATTCATCCATCCATCCATCCTATTTTGTAGTTTTATCGGATCTAGACACTGAACTCTCACGCTAGCAGTATTGAAAAAAATAGTTTACCATGTATTTTACAGCGATCGCAGTACAAATCTCGGCTCAGTTTTGTGTAAAAGCCTCAGGATTTGGTACAGTTACGTGTCTAGTGGTCAAAAATGTGCAACATGGCGGCGGCCAATCGGGGGTCACTTTCAGCTGCCAGTTTATTGCTCTAAGGCCCTCTACCTCGTTGAAGCCGGACCATGATCAAAACTCGTGAAGTTTCCTTGCGCTTCTCTTTCGTTCTTGCAAGTGCACGCAATCAGTGTTGGGAAATTTAAAGACCCTCTATCCTGGGAAAAGTGTCGCCATTCATTGTTGTGGAAATGCTCGAGACACGTACCGCGCGCCACCTTCTGGGAAGAACATTGCATCTGAAATCTAGCTCAGTGCTGGACCGTGCCGCCATAATCTTCCCAAGGGCTGCACGTTGCACGTGCCTTGTGCATCGACACACCTTGCGCTACTTTTGAAACATGAAGGGGCTTTAGAGAAATTAAGTCAAGCGGGATGCTCAGCACGGTGCTGCCCTGCCATGTTCTTTAATGGCCGGGCTAGAAAGAGCGGTTTTCCTTCCGGCCTTCCTTCACTCTCGCCTATGAGCAATAGGACGTCTTTATCCGTGTGGAGGTGCTACCACACTACCATGCCCAACACCGCCGGAGCCATCCTGAACAACTGTCCCCTGACCGCTGCGATTGAAAATGTGTGTCATTATACCTATTTGAAATAACTATATTAAGCCAATTGAAATAAGTTTCGGCCTACCATAATTAAATGCTTTTCTATATTACAAACTGGTTTCTTGAGGAGACGAAGAGAAAGAGGTGTTTTGTATAAGTCCCTGCAAACAGCCGGCCTCATGACCTGTGGGTCTAATTACTCTTGACACTTCTTCAACTAAACTCCGGAGCGAAGAGTACAACCCGGTGAGGAGGAGGTGCCTCCGAGAAGGAATTAAAGTGCGATAGTATGGGTAGCTTACAACGGCCGCTTCGAGGTGCCGCCGCTGGAGCGAGCGGTATGGGGTTACAGCGACCCCTCCAAGCTCCCGTCGCAGGGACCAACAACTCCCCGTGCAAAGGCCGTAAGAGATCGCGCCTGTTCACTCTAGTCCGGCAATTGTTCTTCCAATTGCTGAACGAGGCAAGCGCATCCTCATTAGGACAATTGTCTTGAAACCTAAACACGTCAGGAGAATAATGCGGGGGAAAACATGCGCTGCAGAGCCCAGGAATCAACGACTCGAACCACGCCGCTGCCCGTTTCGATATAGATGAGCATCGTACCGCGGCGTGCTAAACTTTCTCACCCACATCGGAGACACCATGGGGCTCTTGCAGAGTTTAGCTTTCCAGTACCTAAGGATCTAACAACAATTTACTTACTGTGTATCTGCACAAAAAATATTTTCTACGCGAAAATGAGCAGACGTTATCGCGTTTCGACGTCACGTGCGCCACGCTACGAATGCTTGCTAAGTAGAGTACGGGGATTAGCAAGCGTCGGTGACGTGAGCTCCCTAACCTCAAAATACGATGACGTAGATTAGCAAGCGTCGGTGACGTGAGCTCCGTAACCTCAAAATACGATGACGTATATTCCTCTAACTGGAGAAAATTTACGTCGTGTGGTACACTACAAGAGCAATATGACACTGTAAACATTAACGCTGTTGGTGTAAGAATGCGACGACTTCAAGCATCCCACATGTTTTTTGCACACGCCATCAAACTTGTCGTTCCAAACCATCTTTTTTTTTATTTTTTTTATTCTTGCCGGAACGATGTGGCAATTCTCGCCCCTCGGCAGAGTACAGGGATGAGCAAGCATATGTGATATCGCGCACGTGACCTCGAAGCGCAATGACATTTGCTTCTCTCTGGAGAAGAACTCTCCGTCGTCTGAACACACTATCGGAAGCTTCACCAGAAGATATACGTGGCAGCGTGGGAAAGCCGGTTCTCGCATGCAGGCATACAACTAACTTCGATCTTGCGAAGATTTAGCGTGACATTCCTCCAAACCTACCGTATGCACACACCGGCATTGTTCAGAAAAAACGTCGGCTTTCATTCGGACGTTAGGCAGATAACTTGACAGGCTGGGTTGTCATCGGCTAGTCAAGACATCATCATTCGACCAGTAAGACCAGGAATTGCACGAAAAGTGCCAAAAACGAACAATCTACTGTCGGCGTTAAATTAAGGGAGCACTGTACTTCCCAGGATGCATGCACGTTTTCATTTACAAAAAGATGAAACAAAGATAAGAAGTCTAAAACGAGCCATTAGGCTTCGCGTGCGTGGAGAAGGACAACGTCTTCCAACAATTCGGGAAAAGAAAACAAAATCCCCCCCCCCCCCCCCCTTTACAGAAACATCTTGGATGCTTCCGCCGCTTCTGCTCCAAGACGACATTTCATTTTATTTTTAATACAATTTTGATTGCTTTTTAATGGCCCATTTGCAGCACTTCCATCGAGTATTCAGTATTTTGATGGAGAGTATTATTTTGCAAGTGCGGCCGGAGCGTATGTTGAAACCTTTCAAAGGTCTAGCTTTTGCGAGGTGGAAAATGCATAAAAATCCTGTGTTGGATGGCAAGCTTCTTGTTCTCAAAAGATAAGATAGATAAGCGTTCGCGTTGACTTTGTGCGACCACGCTTCCCAGTGCGTCACTGTTATAAACACTACCAGCCAAGCACGATTGCCTCTAAGGTTCACTGTGATAACAGTTAGAAGCAGACTTGTACCGTACGCATTACAAGTAATCAAATTACTTGGAATCGATTACTTTTTGGAGTAATTTTGTAATCAGTGGATTACTTTTATTAGGCAGTAATCACAAGAGTAATCTGATTACTTTTTGAAGTAATAAGATTACTTGTAACCGTTACAATTTGTCCACGGGACCCCCCCCCCCCCCCGGGCACATGCCTTTGTTTTATATGACAAAAAAAAAAATTTGCTTTTTTTTTTCTTGAACGGAAAAAAGAAAGATTTTTGCGGAGCTGTAGGAGACGAGGTTACTCTCTTTCTATGTACAGTTTCTGTGGAATGTCTTTTTTTTTTTTTTTTCGAGCTGGGACTGGGAGTGGGAAGCCCCAGGGAAGCCCCAGTGCGTGACAAAGGCCATTCAGGGCGAAGTTTGAGGAAGCAGAATGTAGCTTTGTGAGTCCTTCGTTCAAACTAGCCCCCTCACGCACACACACACATAAATAAAAACATTTAAAAATCCTGCTTAGGGTACCTACTCGCAGCCCGTAGGAGAACCAGAACCGAAGAATGCCTAAAGCTGATGCAAAATATAACAAAGGCAGTTCAAATATTTTCCCATTTCCCCTACGTGGTCTTCGTGAAAAGCAATGTTTCGAATTGAGAAGTGGTCGGGGCGATCTCTTCCTCTAATGGACACTACACATGATCCGTTTCAAATCCTGGAGCTGCTGCTCTTTTGTATAACATGCGAGCTCATCCATATGTGAATAATAAAATGAGCGACGCAAACTTTGAGCGACAACACTTGCTCAAGCTTAAAAAGATCTAGAACCCCCTCCGCCCCCCCCCCCCCCCCCCCCACACACACACACACACACACTGGTGAATGCCCAAATCATTAAACGTCTTCAAACGAATTCTATGCTTGTGTCCGCATTGTGAAGGTGCAACGACCACGAAGAGGGAGCCAGTTTTTCTTCTTCAATACTTGTGCAAAAGTGAAATATAGGTTGGAAGTAGTTCATTGTTATGAGCGCTAAAGATGTGTCTTCACACAATAAAGTAATCGAAAAAGTAACGATTACTTCTTTAAGTAATGTTTAATTACTTTTGCCGTCGAGTAATCAAGTAATCTAATCGAATACTTTTTAGCCAAGAGTAATAGTAATTGTAATCGATTACTTTTTTTTTGTAACGTGTACAAGACTGGTTAGAAGAGAGGAAGAAAAAAATCACTGGCAGAAAGTATCGCCGATTGCTACCATACTCTGGGATCGCCCAATACGCAAGACCGCAAAACCGCAGGTGATAGTGGGGTAGCAAATGAAGGTGACTGGCAGCGGCCCAAAAAGCCCTATTCAAAAATATACGAAAAAAAAAAAAAAAACGAAACTCGAAATTATCTTGTGGTACGCACTTGTCTTTCTCGATTCTGTGTAAAGTGACAGTTTCAAGGTCGAACGTTCAGTGTTTGAAATGTACTATGTCCTGGATACACGCATCGAACCTCTATTCTCCCCTCCAGCCAACTCGAGGCCGCCAACAATTTTCCATCCCCATTGTCTTTTATCGTGGAGAGGTCGCGCCTGACAGTACGTTGGAAGTTACGAGCTCGTTGGACCAGTGATAAACCCATCTTTGACCACGTGACCACGCTCCCGCCCATACGCACGCAAAGAGAGCAGTCCGCTGACGAAACGGAGGCGGGTGATTGGTCCGGCGAGTGCGTAGCTTCCACCGCACTAAGCTACAGCTTTATGAATGGAGTATAGATCGGGTTGATGATAAGGGACTTTATAGGACGCGTTCGTGGGACCACGGTCCACATTCGCCTTAGCAGGTGCGTGATCGACGCTTGAAGAAAGAAACAGTGCTGCCTGCCAGGAGAAAGGTTTGTTCCGCGTGTACGAGTACCCTAATTTGACTCTAGGCATAAGCGAATTTTCGGACGCGTGCGGAGGCTATCGGCGATACATTAGTTCGAAAGCATAATCCAGTCTGCGTAAATTCGACTTCAGCGGCTCCAGGATAGAACTTGCAGACAAAAACTCGCCCTGTTTGTCTTCTACAGGCTTAACTTGCCGTCGGCTTATTATGTTTGCGGTTCCCGTTATGCGTTTTGTTATTCTGCATTCTTGTCGGCTTTCAAGCCAGCACGAGCTGCCTGCCTTAGGCAACACTTTGGCACATACACTTGATACGGTCAAAGCACCGCGGAATGCAACAAACGCGTGCTAGGCAGAGTTGGAGCCTTTACTGAACTCTTAACCTGTCACTGACTACAGTTACTTTAGATTATAATATTCAGTGGCGGATGCTCAGAAATTCGTTCTAGGTCAGTGTTTGTTTGACTTGCAGAACCAGGCGCTGCACCCCAGACAAGCAATGAAGCCCGTGTTTCAGTGGAACTTACGTCGGAGCGTTGTCTGCTTTTTCCAGCGATCCAAGATGGCGTCAGCGAGGTCCCTGATGTCGCTGGCACGCTGGGCCGTCGGCTCGTCGGCCCCGAGGGTACGACAAGCGGGGACGACCAACCTCCAGCTGACTCGACACTTTCAGCAGAAACGTGAGTCCGAAACCGTGCTCTTTTATCGAGTGCGCGACGGTCAGAGTTTCACCTGTGTGAACGACCATACCTGGTCAAAGTCAAATTGGACGTTTTAGTGATTTATACAGCGTAAGGTTGGTCTGCCAGTAGGGGCGACACTGGTTTACACTGTAGATGAGCAATTTTGCCAGTGCAGTACGACTGCTAACCTGGGGTCTTTAACGTGCTCACGCAGTAGTGATACACGACCGCACGCCGGTACGATGCTCATCCAGATCGAAACGGGCTGGGGTGGGGCTCGAACCCAGGATCCCTGGGTTCCGCAGCGCGAGCTTTCGCTCCACGCGCGTCGAGCTGGGCGTGCGCTGCAGCCCGCACTCGGCCACCGATCCCCCCTAACCATACCTGGTGCTCCTTGTTCCTTTTTTTGGTAGTTTCTATACTCTGTTTCACCTTATGATGTACCGTAGGAAAGGCTACAAGCGCGAGCTCATTGCTCTGGGGCACATCTCGGCGGCACAAGCCCTCGTGACTTAAGAGCAGCTGCCAACGCTCGGAGCTCGCGCTTCTAGCCTTCGCTGCGGTACAACATAAGGTGAAACGAAGTATAGTTTGTTCCTAGATTCTTTTGTTGTGTTCTTAACTTCAGGTATGCGCTTCTGCTAGGTCGTGGGCATATTGAGGAACGCCTCGTCTAATTAAAATTTCGGCTGTGCTTGGAGTTTCGTGTTTGTCTGCCGCTTTTTTTTTTCCTTGCTCTAGTGGTTCCTATGTCAACCATAGTTCGACTCCAATCCTCACATCAAGAACATATATAATGGCGGGGTCTAGAACTCGTTCGCTAGGTCAATATGTCACAAGGCATCATGTATGAGGAATTCTTGTCATGCCGGAAAAGTCATCACACACTTAATTTTTATACGACGTGACGAGTGTTTATTTTTTCTATAAAAAATAATTTCCTTTGGTTTTATAACAGCATTTGTCAATATCCAAAACCATCCACAATTTCAGTTGAAAGCCAAATTATTATAATGATATACATTCCAGGAAATCTAAAACCGACCTGAACTAAAGCAGATAATCAATACATGTACTCGTTATCACGCATTAGTTTATACAGATGCTTTGCAGAAACTGTGCATGGGAGCCGCCATAACCTATACCTTCAGTTTATGGTTCCTCTTACCCGCTCACCTAATCACTGTCAAGGCCAGGTGCCGGCCATTCGAGACTCTACGGTGTCCTTCTCCGTATTGGCCTTTGTGGAAGCTCGTCAAGGCCTGTGAAAGTGGCTCGGTATCTTCGTGAGACAAGAGAAGGACAGAAATGGCGGCCGTAATCTGGAGCGTGTGTAAAGCGTCTGGGTGTAGCACGATTGCCCCGCGTGCAGAATCCCTGTCGCAAAAGCCCCGCGGCGCCACGTTTCAAAAACCCCACGTTCAATTGCCCCGTCCCGCATTCCGCGCATGCCAAAAACCCCGTCCTCACTGTCCCCGTCTCAACCTCTTCACGCGTCCACCAGTATTATTGCATGTCTTAGCCTAGTTAATATTTAAGAGTCTTTTAAGTAAAAGGTGGAACAATAGTAACATGAAGCGCCGACAAACTTTGAATGACATGCCAGTGGCCAATCGCCTAAACCGCATCACCATGGCGATGCATTCCGCAAAATTATGGACTTTATCTGCCTAGATAGATAAAAATATTTTTTTTAGAACGACGTAAGAAGAATGGAACTGGTGTCTGGTGCTGCGATAGGTATGGCGCCATGAGCTCCGGGTTACCAGTTTTACGGAACCCACTTCGGCAGGGCTGTTAATTCGCGCGTGTTTCAGAGTCGACGAAATGAAAATGGGTTGTGTGTATGTCTATGCAGCCAAGGACTTGGTCTGCCTCAACGGGCGACGAGTCTACCATCTGTAGATGAGAAATTTAGCGAGTGCAGTACAACCGCTAGCCTGGGGTCTTTAACGTAGTGATGCACGCCGGTACGACGCTCATCCAGATCGAAACAGGCAGGGTTGGGGATTGAATTAGAGCCGACGAAAGCTTTCGTTCAATGCTTATTGATAAAAGCTGAAACGTGGATCTGTTTAGCGCAGGTCTGAGGAACGGAAAGGTTTACCCAGTTGTTCCTTACTTGGGTTTCGGGTATGGCATGATTACGTTACGCAGGCTCATGTGCACACTTACTGTCTCTTAGAAGCAGAAGGCTCTGCAGTCACGTTGTGGAGCCGGCCACCTGACACGGGGGATTTCTGTCACGGGCTTCTGAAAACGGGGCAAAAATGACGGGGCGTTTCCCGCGGGGGATTCGACACGGAGCTCTTGATATCGGGTGCCTTCGTGCACCACGTAAACTCATAGAACAAAATCTGTCCTTATTCAACTTATACAGACAATTAAATGTCTCAGATAAATAAGCGTGGTGTTTTAGGAAACGATTTGGAGTGCCAAGGAACATCCGGCATCAAATAAAATTCGATGCGAAAAATCGCTTTATTTATTTTTATTTCTTTTGTTAAAAAAGGCAAAAAAAAAAGAGCTCTCGAGCCTAAAAAATTTATATATATTATTTCTTTTTTTTTATGTTGTTTTGACGTAGCTCAGTAGAGTGGTCTGCTTGACCCCAAGATAAGTATGGGTGCCACTAACGCCCTCAATATTTACGGACTTGGGATTTTTCATTGATTGCCTTGCATACTTCTTGTTCCCACATAACCAATACATGCCAGAACTGCATTTTGTGCTAGCCGTGTACAAAATATATATAATCAGTTACAGGTTAAGAAAAGTTTTCAAGAGAAGGACGTCTGGGGAGGAGGAAGCGAATGGAACGCTGGAGAGAGGAGGGGGTTTCCTCCTCTCCTGCATTCCGTTTGCTTCCTCCTCCCGAGCCCTCCTTTCCCTCGAAGTCATTTCTTAACCTGTAACTGACTATAGTTACAATGGTATAAAAATGTATGGCACAACAACATCGAAGCCCCGATCTAAGTGCTCGTTAGCGTCAAACTTTACTGAACGTAGTCTTTCCAAATGCCAGTGTCCTAAGAGTATTTTAAAGTAGGGTCCAAGTTCCTTTTGTTAGCAAAGCATTCGTAAAGCAAGATTGACTTTGTTCCCGCCAAAACACACGCGTCAAAAACTGACAGAACCGTCTTTCATATAGAGGCGGCGGCAGGAGTTCTTCGAGATGTGAATAATTATAACGGCTTTCCTCGCTACATATGATTGGCTCTTGATTAGGCGCTTGTCGGTGGATGCTGACATATATCATTGCTCGCGCTCCTCCAGTTTTAACAGGAAAAGTGGGGGATTTTCACTCCAGTAAAGAGCTAAAGTAGAGGGAAGTAGAAAGCTCACTCTAGTTCTAGTTTCTAGTTCACTGTAGCTAAAGGCTTTTACCACTTTCAGCGTTTTGCGTACGGCGCGTAATTCGCTCGCTTTGTAAAGCAACCAACATACGCGTTTTGGTTTGAGAACGTGGCTGTTAGCGGTGAGTTTCTACCGTGCTTTTGCAACCTGGATTCCACACCGCTGACCTCTACTATAGTGTTTCACGCCACGAGATTAAAGTTGCGCCCATTCTATTCGAGGCGAAATGCGCGTATAGAAGTAGAGCGCATAGCCATAACAAGTTAACATTTCCTCTCAAAAAAGAAATGCGGGTGTAATCTTGGAAAGTGTTTGTAAGTACCAAGTTACTCCCCTACGTGTTTAAGGTAGAGCAACTTTGAGTAGTGTATTTAAGTTACGTAATTGCGACAGCGGAGCAATCGTAAAGGCGATCCTGCCAACTAAAGACCCCGCGATACTTCGGACTTCGAACACAGCGTGCTGGCGCGCAGCCAGTCAACAAACACGTTATCTACCGACGCACTCTTCTGGTGCTGGTATCCTCTATAAGAGAGCCGCATGGCAGCTACCAGACGAGTCCCGCCGTAATCGCCCAAGCAAAGACCCTTCTCAACTTACCTTGTGCCTAGGGTATACCCTGATCAATCTTCTCAGTGGGTTTTGAAGTGTTCCTTGACGCCGAACGCTACTAGACCGCGTGCGCTATCAACTCATGTGCTGCCGAGCTTTGCTGCGGTCCCACCGACTGATGCTCCGACCCCGAACCACTTTGTATTGGATTGTGTTGGTCATTTCCTTTGTAACGGGTGTTCTGCAGACTCCGCTCTGCTCCTTCCAAAGGAACTGCTTCTCCACTGTCTAACTCGGTCTAACTACTTCTTGTTTTGGGGCCAGCAGTCATCCAGCCACCAGCCTCCTCTTCATGCACTCTGTGATCCTTTCGGGCAGCGTCGACTGGGCCTCCACTAGCTTCCGTTACCATCCCAAAGCCGTGGTAGCCCACCATACCAAAGCCAAGTGCCTCCGGCAGCAAATCCGCTCGTGTGTAAAATAACAATGGTGATGACTTTGCCACTGTGTGGTAGTAGAAGAGGAAGTCTGCTTGTGGGCGGTGGCCGAGGGACCCGGTGATCATGCTTCGCTTGGTCACACTGACCAGGCTCGCCGCAAGACCCAGGTCCGTCCTAGTCCGGCCAAGAGGATCCCTCCGTTCGCAGGCATCGCCGCTGTCTCAAAGGCGCTTCATATCGTGTAATGTTCACTTCACATAGCACTTAGCTTTAAAGCCTGGTGCAGTCGGTTGCGTTCAGAGCGACCGAAACGACAAAGTCAATGGGACAAATGTTTGGTGTAGTTGAAGTGGCGAGCGCTGCACCTTCATGAGCAATCATGTGGAGTAGTTTTCCCAGTGTCTTGGTCGTTGCCATCTTTCTGTTGCTGTGTACGTAACTGACGCAAATGTGTGAACGAGACTAATGCTTCAGTCCCACTTGCGATACAGGCATTTCTGTCTCTCAAAAATACATTTTTATTTTATGTATGTGTGCTCCGAGCATTTTTTTTTCTTGTACACCTGCTTTTGTGGCCAGTTGGCAACTCTCAAGCGTAGAAGATATTGTTATTTGATGTGTCTGCTATGTATATGGCGTTTCTGCTAACTATGTCGTTCTGGTGGGACGAGGTCCTAGCTCCTGTCCCAAAAGGAACCTTTGAGGGAATCGGCTTTTTCCGAAGCTCAATGGCATTACTATTTTCTTCGGAGTCATCATCTCATCTGATCTGCGGTGGAACACTCACATTAAGTATACATCACATGCGCGTGTTTGAGAAAGTTGGCTTCCTAGGACGGCCCCTGGAGCGCTCCAGGCCATCAACAAAGTTGCCTTCGTATCTTAACTTTGTCCCTGCCCTTGGGCGCTTCTATCCAGCCATCAATAAGACCCATTCTAGAATAGGCAGTAGTAGTTTGGAATCTTCACACTAAAAAAAATACAAATAAATTTGAGAAAATATAAAGAAAGGCGGTTGGGTTTATTTATAACTCTCACAATAGGTTTGTGTCTCCCAGCCAACTTTCGCAGGGCGCCAACCTTGAGTGCCTTGACACTAGACGTCGGAACGAATGACTAAAATTATTATACCTAAAACCTAAAAAAAAAAATGTATATGTACTATTTCTTTTTTTCGGCCACGGGTAACAAGAAGATTACATCATTTGTCGGTGGGAGACTGTTGCAGCGAATAATGCATTTCACCAGTCATTCTTTCCGCGAACTATTCGAGAATGGAATTTCCTGCCGGTTGACGTTGTCGCCAGTGCCTCTCTGTCTTTGTTCTTATTTCAGATTGAACACAATATATATATTAGATCGGATAGAAAACACGCTCAAGTTTTGCTGTACACTCATTTATATTGTTTTTATCAGTGTTGCGATTGATTTTGTTTTTCTATGATATCTATGCGTTAGGTAGTCGGGGTTTTGTTGGGCTATTGTTTTTCCGCCGGTGCGAATGACATATTCCCTTGCCTTCACTTAAAATATTGTACGCGTTGCAGTGCAGCAAAACGCTGCCAAAATTTTTTTCACATATTTTTGTTTTTGTATGTGTGTGTTTGTACCACTCCTGTTACACCCTCTACGAGGTGAGCAGTACTAGTAAATAGGAAAAAGTTGACATTGTTGCAGCAATGACCGCAACAAACTATGCAGGTTGCCTAGCGTATATTAGGTCCTTGGTGCCATTTTCACTCAAGAGGACTATCGGCAAAGCGACACGTTTTGAAAACGGTCCGTTCTGATTTCTCCGCATTCATCACTTGTGCGCCTCGATCTCAGGCTCTCAATACTAGCGGATTGTGCACGTATTTCTGTAATCGCCGTTCGCGACGCAGACTGTGGCGAGTGCACAACAGAAATGATTGTAAATCGTGTTAATTGCGAGATACCTGAACTTTTATTTAATTGAGAAAGTATCTCTCTGAGAGAAGTATTTGAGAAGGGGCTTCTGTCTCAAGCGACGGTTCCCTTTGGCGCAGGCACGGCTGTGGCTCAAGCCCGGAAGCAGGAAGCGTCGCTGAGCGTCAGCCAGGCCATGCCCACAAGCAGCCATACAGTCAAGGTCATCTTCAGCGACGACCAAGCCTGCGAGCTCAACTACATTTGGGTGAGAACCTCTAACACAGCTTCCGGAACCTGCTCCTTCTTTTTTTTTTTTTTTTTTTTGTCCACAGACGTGAGATTTATTTGTAGCGTAGACAAGACTGCAATGCGACTGCAACGCAGAAGACAATAAACATTAAGACTATCATGTCCCTACGTTAGGCTTAAAGGGAAGCTGAAGAGGTCCTTGGATTCCAACATACAGTAAAAGTTGTAATGTGACACCTTAGAAATTATGTCTTAAGTTGTATTTCAATATTATTATAGTAGGAGGCAACAACACTCGAGCACCAGAGCCGGACGAGCGCACGGAAATGGGGGAGAGGGTATCGCGAGCTTGCGAGGCTGCCCTTTTCTCAAGCCTCTCCTTCGTACTGGCTCCGTCTAGAGTGCCTTCATGCTCGCTTTGCGGGACATGAAGGCACCCTAGCTCCGTCGTCTGCTACACCAACGCTTTGTCGAACCTAGTCGAACCCTGCCACGGATGCGGTGCAAATTAAGTGGATTAATCAGTGACACTGCAAGACGTGAAGGTCTGTCAAGCTCGTCCAACGGCACAACGCAGACAAGAGTCGACCCGGGTAGCACAGGCAGCAAAGATACGCTACGCCGCCCACGACGTTCCGACGGATGGCTGCTACTGGCAACGAGGGAGCACGTGATCTGTACCGAGAGTTCCCAAAATGCCCTGCCGTCGTGGCGCGAAGTATACCTGCCCGTTGCGCCCCGCTAACGGTAGGAAAGCGCGAGAGCGGAGAGAAACACTAGCAAAAGTGACGTCATCAACGGGATCGATGACCCTTGCTCGCCACTAAGCTGGTTCAGAGATGAGGTCAGTGACGTCACGACGCTCAGGACAGCTAGCAGGCAAGAGAGAGGATCACCGCGTGCCCCCCAAAAAATCGCTGCACGTATTTTTTTTTTTTAATAAACGCAGCTTACGTTTACTTTTGTCCAAGACAGATTTATTGAAAAGTACAGCTTCCCTTTAAGTCGCTGCCTTCGCACGCAGATGCTTGCAATGCCTGTTTTTGTTAAACATTGCTGGAACTAACAGCGCGAAGTGTGTCGCCTCGTTTCGGACGTCAAGGTGACAGGGTCACGGAAAGTCAACCTTGCGCCGCTCTTCTCGCAGCTTCGGGACAACTGCACGTGTCCCCAGTGCATTCATCCGCAGAGCAAGCAGAAGCTGGTGGACACAGCGGCGCTCGATTTCAACGTGCGTCCTGTCAGCATGGAGGCGAGCGCCGACGGAACCCTAGAGGTGTCCTGGGGTGACTCCAAAGGGACGCACAACTCCAGCTACGACCCGCTCTGGTGAGTCTATGGGCCCCGTCATAGACGGACTTCCAGTGTTGCGAAACCCTCGTGGAACTTTCAACTCGAAGTTTTGGTCCTGTAAAACGCCACATCGAAACAGTTATTGAGAAAAGACCAACGGCTAGTTCGCGCTTTCCACTTTTTCCTCGCTTCCTCCTCTCCCCCTTCTACCCTGTCCACCGTTGCCTGTTTCCTCCTCCCCCATGGTGAGGAAGATCTTCTGCCTTGCAGAATCTCGAGTGTGGTCCTGGGCCTTTAAGGTTACGGCAGTTAAGGCATTTTAGAGGACGAAGGAGGACCGACGAGGTACCCGCCTCGATAGATGGAGAGAGAATTGGAGTTTAATGGCACAGGAGAAACTGAGGCTAAAAGGCACCAAATGCAGGGTGTAATTCGTAAGAAAATACCTAGAAAATGTGAATTCTAATGTAACACTAAATTAGACGATGAAAACTTTTTATCGGTCGGGTCTGCGAGGACACAGCTCCGACCAGGCACGTATCCAGGGGGGTGGGTATGCCCCCCCCCCCCCCCCCCTTTCTCGAAATCTTCCATTTTGCTGGGGCCTCCTCTCCCCCCTCCCCCTCATACAGCACTTTGTCAGGGGCGGCCCCCCCCCCCCCCCCCCCACACACACACACACACACACTTCCCGAATCAAAATCCTGGCTTCGGGCCTGGCTCTGACGAAAGCCTTTGAGGAAAAACAATTAAAATAATGCCCCGGGTTCCCGCCTAAGGCTGGGAGGTTACGCCAGAACCTACATTTGAACGACGAAGGTGGAACAGCAAAGTCACTCGCCTATAGCCAGCTCTTCTGGTGTCCAAAGACGATTCGAAGCGTACGCGACGTAGCTTCGTGCTTGCAGCGACTTGGACGACCACACAAACAAGTGCTACTTAGACAGGGAGTTCCACACCGCTAATCGATCGTTAAAAAAAATGAAACGCCGCATAAATAAGTTAATGAACACAATGCAATGAAACTTTGCACAAGGGCTTCTTTAAGCGGTGTATTTAATACACTCAAATTTTTCGAGTGTAGGTTTTAGGAGCAAAATGCAGGAAAAGAAAAACTTGCATGGTTCATATGCAATGGGAGGAAAAAGAAACAAATCGTCTGTTTATCGCTGCCACTTCCAGATGGCACCATATACGCGCGGATCAGCTGTACCTGTTTTAGGGTGTTAATTGGGAGTTTTCGTAGACGTTTTTTACATTGTCCCCCATTTGCGAAAAACTTGCTAAACACAACAACAAACATCGCTGAAATAGTAACCCAAAATATTTGGCAAAAATAACTTTTTCCGCGAAGTTTAAAAAATTTACATTTTTGGTCATTATCATGTTTTTCAAAGTAAAACACTGTACTGGCAACATTGAAAAAGTGACGTCATGGGAAGGCAGGGGCTCACTTTTTGAGCTGTAGACTTTGTTCCCAACTAATTACAAGCAGTTTCATGATGTCAAATGAATGAATTGGAACGTAGCTCCGGCTCCTGCGCAGCAGCACCAAACAAATGCTCGGCATAGTTCATTTTTAGACAGCCCGCTCAAACCGCAAGCCTGCCATCCCGTGACGTCACTGCAATGAAAAGAACGGGTATATTCGCATCTTGGTTTTGGCGTTATTTTCATTTGCCGATTTGACAATAACTATTTTGAATTTCGCGATACTAAATAACACACCTGAAAGAGTAAAAGAAGGCGATTTCGAAAATATAGTTAGGTGGAGTTGCTAAAAAAATCTCCGGAGTAGCCCTTTAAACCCTCCCTCCCAAACAAAGAAGCCGCTACTGCGCCTGCGCGCTGATACCCTTGACGATAGAGTTCCGGGTATCGTTACGGGCTGCGGAAAGCGTTTCGGGACGGCGTAAACCATCTACGAAATTTTTTTATCTCTAAGAAGCTTTCAAGGTTTCGTACCATGTGGTGCCATGCGTTTGTGGCAACGTCACCCCGACGCTTCGCTTGATTTCCTGCCGTGCTCACTAAAAATAACAAGTTCTTTTTTTTTGTCTTGAATTTTCTTTTTCAGAAATTTGCATTAAAAAAATATATAATAATTTAACTACTTCAATACACCTTTGTGTAAAGTTTCATTTTACCGCGTTCATTGGTTCGTTCCTACGGCAAGAAAGTGCGTGAACAGGTACTCAAACCAGCGCGGGACCTCTTTCGCTAATCAAAGAAGCTTATAGACACTGCTGTCTCCCTCCAGTGAGCTCCAGAGACCAAGATGGCGCTCCCGGCTAAGTCCCTTTTGGGCCTATTGTGACTTACCTTTTGCCCCTAAGCTCGTTCTAAGACGCTTCTACCTTCTCCTTGCCAATGCGCGCATCGTTTCATGCTGGAAATCCTCGAACCCCGTTTCCCGCAAGGTGGCTCTAGTTATTTCGAAAGTGGTGGACGTTCGTCAAGAGAGCCTTTCATGAAAATAAACATAGATGGACAGTTGGTAATCGGAACCTTTTAAATCGGATGGATAAGTGGATGCGGCTGAACCTTTTAAATTGGGCGGCGGCTTGCGCCACCTAGCCAAAGCTTCTAATTCAAATTGACTAATGTCCAATTAAATTCGCAATCAATGGAGAATGGAAAAAGAATTTCACATCACTGTTGAGCACAGGCCTTCATCTTTCTCCACGAAACTTCATTCTTTCCTCGACCTATGCCACCAGTCCGATAACCTGTGCTCGGTAATCTTTACTTTCCAAGCGTCTATTTTTCGTAGCTTCCTCTAAAGCACGAAGCCGGCACTAAATAGCATTGCCTCGAACAACAGCAGAGTGAAGCCCTTTACTGTAAAGCATTAAGTGCCCAGCTGTCTTCTTTCTCTCCCCACGTGCCCCACACAACGGCGTTTCCAGAGAGATTCGACATCTCGTTAAACCGTTGAACCCGTCCGTTTCGTGGAACTGCTTTTGGCGTTACTTTTTTTGGCGATTTTGGCAACGCGCGCAGGTTGTACAAGCATGGCCGAAGCTACATGCTTGACTCGGACAACAAGGATGATCCGCGGGCGGCGTTGCCCCCTCAAGAGCTGTGGGACCGGGTGTCCATCTGGAAGGGCATGCCAGAGGTGTCCTACAAGGAGTTTATGAGCACCGACGACGGACTCTACCGATGGCTGGACCTCATGCACAAGTACGGCGTCGTCGTGCTTCGGGGTGAGTTACTCTTCGCGCCATCTTTCTGCGGCACCACGCTTTAAATTAGTCATTCGGTCTTTTTGAGACACGCCAACCATTTACTGTCATTTCTCAAGTATGCAAGCAAGTGTGGAAAAGCAGAGCCTCAAAACGTCCTCAGGCTGTAGCATGCCATTGTGTCTGTGAAAAAAAAAAATATAGGAGGTCCCCCCCTCTCCCAATGTAGCGCTAGCGGTACGAACGAGATGCCAAAGATTCAAAACTAATAGCTCATTTATTAAAAATTTAGAAGTGATTTCTTTTTTAATTTTTAATAGGACAATGGTGGCCGACGGAATCCTCGACTACATGCAGCTGAATGGCGTCAGTTACTGAGAACGGGCCCCATTTTCTATCGAAATTTTCAGATCACTTATAACTTTTCGAATAAGGTAATGGTTGGTTATGTTACATTGGCATGTGGTTCGGACCGTGAGTCCCACACTTTTACAAAAACGAGCGGTCGGCACCGCGTAATTTATTTCTGTAATATATATATATATATATATATATATATATATTTTTTTTTTTTTTTTTTTTTTTTTGCGGCGACACCGTGTAGAGGTGATCACGCTTTTTGATTGGCTGATCATCGTAATTTTTAAGCCGCTAAAAAATATATCTTTAAGCTTATAGAAATTTTCTATCTGGAAATGCTGAACATTTGGAGAATTACCACTGGTCGCAAAGTGATAAACGTGTTAATTATCGATGTTTCTTTTTTTGCAAAAGATGAGTTTAAAAGACAGTAAGTACGTAGGCGAATTGGCGGAAGTACAGGTAGTTAACAAGAAGGCAAAAAGAAAATGCCGACCCGTTCGCCTTCTGATGAGCAGCCGAAACTAAAAAGGGCTGCAAGCACCAGCGTACTTCCCTGAACAATGCCTGCATCGCTGGAGAGCGCGTGCGTAGCAGTGACACTGAGTGCCCGGAGCTGGCCCTTGTAGCTGCTACTACGCGGTCACGGCCCGTCACGATTGCCCAGACCATAGCCTCCTATATACACCTTTTCCGTCCAACCTCGACCCAGCGCGTAACGTGCGTAGCCTCGACTCGGCGACTCGGCGCACAGCGGGAATAGTTCTTCCGGTTCTAACACTTCCGGTATGCGGGAGCAGGCCTAGCCGGCTGGCAAGATGCTGAAGTGGTGCGCGTTAAATGGGTTTTGAAGCCCTTGACAGCAAAGTGAGTTGTAATAACGTGGGTTATACGTCGATGTATCATGTCCGCGCATATTTGGTCATCGGGCTGCCACTGCGCAGTCGTTGGCTGCAGCAGCAATTTCCGAAAACGGAAGATAGCGCGCGACGAATTGTGCACCGAACACAAGAAGCCGCAAAGCGAATGCGGCTGTAACGTATACATTTTGCATCGCTTCCCCGCTGATATCAGCGGGGAAGCTCTGCAATATCAGCACATAAAAAAAAAGCAAATAGGCAGTATAGAAACGGACATCTACAAGTGCAGTAACAGGCCTCGATAAGACAAATGCAGAACGAATTTTGCAGCTTGTGGTGCAAATGTAAGACCCTGGGTGTAATGATTGTTATTGTCTACTCATGTTTTGCTTTTCATTCCGTTCATTCCTACGAGGATGTGCACTATAATTTTGTGTGTTGCTCGGTAGCGACGCCCGTTAAAGTACGTTAATGGAAACAATACAAAAAGAGGGCGCAAAATCGTCGTCGTCCCGTCCCCCCCCCCCCCCCCCCTTTCACCCCCATCTCCTGAATAGTTCCGAAGCATCTGGGCGTCATACGAAGTAGATATGTCCCGGTACTAGCGATCGTACCTCGACGGTGCACCATAACAATAAACCGTTCGGCCCGCGTCGCCAACTCCCATTGTGAGTATTTCTACGATTAAAGGGGTATTCACACGAGGGAGAAATCCCGGGGATTTCTCCCCGGCACGCGCATCCCACGACGAAAACGTCAGGCTTTGCGATGATCAAAAGCCTCGCGTTTTTATCTCGTGATTCGTGCGTGCCGGGGAGAAATCCCCGGGATTTCTCCCTCGTGTGAATACCCCAGGATGATACTTCTATGCCCAGGGTCGCCCTCGCTCGCGCATAGAAACCCTCCGTTAGTCATTCGCAGAAGGCAGTCATTCTTCACAAACAACAACACGCGAAGAGTAAACACTGGTAAACGTCCTCAGGAGAAGTGAACATGCCTCCGATTTCGATTACCGGCGACGCTGGCGACGAACCTCTCGGTGCTGCTGGCGCAACAACGGGCGCCATGAGGGCGAATAAACACGCCAGAACACAAGAGTAATTCACACTTTCAATAACAAACAAATTAAGAACTCACTAAAAGGAAAACAATGAAGATACGATGCACGGGGTCAATGGGGACAACGCGGGAGCTAGGAACAACGCTGCTCTCCGCACCAAAATGGGCGCACAACAACCGTACGCCAGACGCCAGACGGCGCGGCTGTCGCTGCAACACGCAAGATGGCGACGACTACGCGGAAAAGGTGTATAGTGACAAAACCTGGCAGATCGCCACGAGAAGCGGCCGCCGAAATGGAAAAGGTGGAGCGGAAAACAACGGATGAAAGGAGAGCCACGTGACTGGCGCCCCGCTGTGGCCAGACGCCGAAACACACTTCTCCCGAGCGAACAAGTGTGTTTCGGGTCCTCGCCGCTGCAAAAACTGTGCGCTGACGTCCAGGTTCTCCTAGAAATGCTCTGTGCTACTAGATCTTCGCGCTCTAAATCTGCGACCGGGCACACTATGGCTCTGTCGTCGAACTGTCAAGCTTTCTGAGTATAGAGGAGGCTATGTCCCTGACGCTCACTACGTCTTACGTACGATGAAGCCAACTTTTATTAGAGAGTTTTAGTAATACGTATAGGAGCAAACGCAGACCCCATACGTTAACGTTAACGTTGCGTCCTCCACACTACGCATGCGCCATACGTACGTACTGCGGCGAGCCTTGCGTACGTACGCTCGCTATCGAGTTTTGCGAGCGTACGTAGCGGTCCCCTGCGTGCCATCTCGTTGCTCTCGTCGCGCACGGGAGAGCGCCAGACTAGTACAGTTTGAAAAATGGCGGCGGTGAGGCAAACCAGCGGAAGTACTACGCGTATTGTACGGGTTCGCTTTACCATTGAAGATGACATCAACCTCCTCAAAGAACTCAACGCGACGAACCCTTTCGAGCACCCACAAAGATGGGTGTCGATAGCCAAGAACGTTGGCGACGCCGTCAAACCCCAAAAAGTGTTTACCGTGCGGTCGGTACAAAAAAAAACAAAAAAAAACGACAAAACACGTACACAACAGGCACACGGAAACACGCACTTCCGTAACAAAGCTAGGAGAATCGGGGCTTTGGATTGGCTTGACCGAATACCCGCCTTGGATTGTTTGAAGCTGTTTGCAGGAGCACATCTAGATGGCGCTACAAGTCTTTACGTATGCGTTCTTCTTCCGCTGTACTAAAAGTGCGTATTCGACGCGCTCCGTAACGTTCCGTTGACGCAACGTTAACGCTAACGTAGGGGGTTTGTGTTTGCCCCTATACGTATTACTAAAACTTTCTATTATTGGAGATAAGGGGTATGTCAGACTGTCGGCAATGTATGGTGTTGATTTAAGGACGCGATGACTACACGTTTTTAACACGCGCCATCAAAATTAGCCCTGGCAGTCGATAATCCTGATAGTGACGTCACGGACAGTAACCATAAGGAGCCACCTAAACCTCCCGCCGCCAATAACCCTACATTAGGGGTGAGACCGAGCGCTCGGCGATGCAGATTGTATTTTTACAATGTTAGACGAAAACAAACAAAACAAAAATTCGAGACGCTTCGCACATTGGGCAGCCGGGTTTTCTCTGCTATCCTAACGCTCTCACTTGTTTTCGTAGGCGTCCCGTGCGAGAAGGACGAGATCCTGAACGCCGTGAAGCGGGTGGCGTACGTCAAGTCCACGATCTGGGGCGACACCTTCGACGTGATCTGCGAGCCCGTGCAGAACGACCCGTCGCACCTGGCCTACACCGGAATGTACCTGGAGCACCACACCGACATGAACTACAGGGAGAAGTCCCCGGGTGAGAACTGCCTTCGGGGAATCATTTTGTTCCTGGTCTCGAAGCCAACGGAGCACCAGACAAAAAGCTGCCCGAGGCAGCTTGACCTGGTCTGAAGCCCGTCTCAAATTTGTCGACCGGACATTCATTGTAGAATGCAGAAGCAAACTACAAAAAAAAAAAAAAGAAAAAAATATATGTATGCTGAATTATCAAATAATTAAAAAATCGCATAGTTTCAACTTATAAAAGCATTATGAAAAGAAAAGCAAGCAGAAAATCCCGTACACACAACTTTGACAAAATAAGCATCTTTATATGAAAAAAAAAGTGAAAGCCGCTTACAACTCCCTGTAACGCCGAATTAGAGCGCAGCTCTTGAGGAGGAGGAGGGAAGGGCGCTGGGGGGGGAGGGGGTTAGACTAACCAGGAGGGGGTCACGTGACCCCCAATGCCGATGATGTCATCACTGACGTGACTGATGATGTCATCAGTGACGATGACGATGCGGGTACCGATGACGTCATTAGTGACGTCACTGATGACTTCACCAGTGATGATGACAATGACGATGCGAATGTCGGTGACGTCATCAGTGACGTCGCTGACGTCATCAGTGATGATGACGATGACGATGCGGATGCCGGTGACGACATCAGTGACGTCACTGATGACGTCATCAGTGATGATGACGATGACGATGCGGATGTCGGTAACGTCACCGGCATCCACATCGTCATCGTCATCATCACTGATGACGTCACCGGCATCCACATTGTCATCGTCATCATCACTGATAACGTCACCGGCATCCGCATCGCCATCGTCATCATCACTGATGACGTCACCGGCATCCACATCGTCATCATCACTGATGACGTCACCGGCATCCACATCGTCATCGTCATCATCGCTGATGACGTCACCGGCATCCACATCCTCATCGTCATCATCACTGATGACGTCACCGGCATCCACATCGTCATCGTCACTGATGACGTCATCATCATTGATGCCGTCATCATCACTGATGACGTCACCGGCATCCACATCGTCATCGTCATCATCACTGATGGCGTCACCGGCATCCACATCGTCATCGTCATCATCACTGATGATGTCACCGGCATCCGCATCGTCATCATCACTGATGATGACGTCATCAGTGATGATGACGATGTGGATGCCGGTGACGTCATCAGTGTCGATGACGTCATCGGGGGGTCACGCGACATCGGCGGGGGTCACGTGACCTCGGGGGGTCACGTGACCTCGAGGAGGGGGTCACGTGACCTCAGGGGAGTCACGTGACTTCGGGGGGTCACGTGACCTCGGGGGGGTCACGTGCCCCCCCACGAAGTCACGTGACCCCGGTGGGGGGCTCGCGCGGTGCATTATGGGACATTTCCCATGATGCACCGCGCGGTTACGCCGACGCCGACGGCGACGCCGACGCCGCTCAAGCCGGAAACGGGCCCCTAAGAGCTGCGCTCTAAAAATACGCAAAAGGAATATTGGATACACAACTTCTTCTAACAGCAATATACGAAAATCTCAGCTTAACACTGGTGCCGCACCGTATCCGCGCTGAAACACGAATATAGTGCGAAGTTAACGTGCATCATCGAGGTTAGTGCTATGTCCAGGGCTGCACCGAGAAAACGCTATGGTGTATCTGTGAACAGGTCATGATTGGGGTCACATCTACGAGCGCCCGGGGGGAAGCTACAGCACGGAGCGTGGCCTTCGAGTTGGTCTAAAGGACACGCCGGAGCTCTGGACTGGCTAGGAAGGCTCTTACCGCCCGTCGCGATAACAAGCCCGATTTGTCCGCCTACAAAATCAGACGAGGTGCTGGCAACCTCAGCTACCCATCGGTAGTACTGGATTTGGATGCATGGATGGAGGATATGGTGGCTGTATTCTTCGTGAGCACTCGCACTCTAGCTATAGCCTTCAATTCTCACCTAACCGCCGTTCACATGCTTGCAGCCGAGTAAAACCGAGAGAGACAAGACCGGATGCGATGCTGCGGAGCTGGTCTTAAGACGTCGTCTCTCTCCGTCCTACTCGGTTGCGAGTGTGTGAACGGCGCTTAACCCCCTCTTCTTTGTAGATGGACGGATTCATATTAGAGAGTTTCAGAAGAGGTGCCCTAAGCGGCTTGGGGCGTCGCACAAAGCATCGTAGACCTTCTGTGAATGCGCGACTCCCCAGAGCGTTGGGGCGCCCTATTCAAAAACTCCCCATTAACTTTATAGCGGATGGTAGATTCCGCCATCCAGCCTAACGGCCCGTTCACACTCTTGCAACCGAGTACGACCGAGCGAGACAAGACCGGTTTTTAAGCCTCTTGAGACGGCGTAGGACCACATGCGCTGCTGCGGAGCAGGTCCTAAGCCGTCGAAAGAGGCTCAAAAACCGGTCTCTCATTCCTGTAAATATTACCAAGCGGTGGGGACGACCGCCAAATTAACCGAAATCGGGAGGGAAAAATAGAAAACATGTTCCCCATCCCTCTTGTTACCCCGGCGAGGGAGTCGCGAATTTTAAACCGCTTACAAGAGTGTCCCATCATGCCCAGATAGTGATTCCCAGGAGTAGAGAACGTTTATCTCAGAGATTAGTGCAAATCCCGGCGGGCAGTTTAATTAAAGTGTAGTTCGCTTTAGGGGTACGAGAGCCTCACGGGGGAACGGGGAAACCCCTAGTTCTAACACGATACCTCCCTTACTGCGCTCGGTACCTGCGAGGTTCAGGACACGGGTTCTTATTAACCTGGTTCTGCGTGACAACGTAAAAAAAAAATATATTTGCTTAAAATAAGATCGTTTTAAATTCGCATCTCACGTCCTGAGCTGCGACGAATCTGCGCGTTACGCTCCTGGCTCTCTCGCTTCACTGCAGTCCCATTCATTCGGAGGGAAAGCACCCTTCTCAGGCGAGCCGGCTCGTTGCTCGTCGCAAGGAATGCATTTCGAGGCGTTTCCAGCCTTTGACTACGCGATTTCTGCGCATGATTTGTGAGATAACGTGTGGACATTGGAAGTTGCCATCTTAAAGAGAGTTCTGCCTGATGCAGCTTCTCTACGAGTGATGACGTACACTAAAACGGAACTGTCCGCGGCAGGGCGAGTCCAGCCGCGTTTAAAACATTTAAGCTCTCTGAAACTTGAAACTTTCTGGCACCACAAATGTTTAGCGATACTGTGAGCTTCCCATATGCAGGGGCTGATAAACCTGGCGATCTTCCGGAGCATTCCACACTCTCGAGCTCCTCTCCATCAGTGTGCACAGGTGGTCGAGCTGTTCCTCGCCTACCTCACTCCTTCTCGTCTGCCCCTCTGGTCACGTGAACTCCCCCGTTAACCAATCGGCATCGAGCTTCACGGCCACGCTTTACAACATGCTGAGCACCTAGTTAAAGAAAGTTTCACGTTAAAAACGTGACAGCTGCGGACTTGGTTAAACCCCTCTGTGCGTTACCACCAGAGAGTCCAAGGACCTTGTTGACGGATAAACACGAGAGCCGTCGGAGGGTCACACCACTTCCCCTGGTCGAGTGATGTATATGAAACTGTCGTCACTGACAGGTTGAGAACAGCAGACGGGTTCTTCGGTCGTCACGCCTCCAACCAGCACGAGTTTCCCACCTTCGATAGCGCTTCGGCGCCTCGGGAGCCTCGAGCAGGAACGTGCGGACAAAGCACGACGGATGGTAACAAGCGTGCTAAAGGCATTCGAAAGAGACGCCCTGTGCTTCTTGCCCTGTCTGTAACTGTAGCAAACTTGGTGTTTATATGAGACCAAGAGGACCACGAGTCAGGACGTCCGATATTTCAGAGAAGATCTCCGCACTTTGGTAGTCGAGAATCACACGCTACGTGTCCGTTTTCCCAAGAGCTCCTCTGCACTGCGCTTGTCTAGAACCATCCCGTATACTGCTAACACACCAAAAGATAATAATAATAAACGACCTAAAAAAAAGTTTAACCACACAACGATTGTGTGTTTTTTTTCATCTTCAGGCTTGCAGATGTTACACTGTCTCAAGGCCATGGACATTCAAAACGGGGAGGACTTTGGGGGCAAGTCCTTCTTTGTGGACGGCTTCATGGTGGCCAACTGGATGAGGGAAAATAACCCCGCGGCCTTCCACATCCTCGCGTCCACGCCTGTCCAGTTCAGCATCGCGTCACACAATGTAAGTTCTCCACCCCGCCCTCGTGTCTTACCGCCTTTTGAAAAGGGTCGCTCACGCATGCACTGAAAGCATCGCGTGCAAGTGTTATACCAGCCCCTTGTGAACTGAACTACGAGCGAGTACCTTTCGAGGTGGCTCCATTATCTTTGGAAACGCGCAGTTACTCTATGTTGTAACTTACATGTCATCTATAGGATCATTATGTTTGCTTATAATAGCCATGATGTTGAATATAATCGGTGACAGACTGAAGCGTGTTTCACATGCAGCGGTTTTGGCCTTAGAGCGGCGCGATTTGTGCCGTCGCGGCGCTCTGGCCAGCCGCAGCGGTTGAGCGGCACGAGCACCGCGACGGCAGAAATCGCGCCGCTCTAGGACCAAAATCGCTGCATGTGAAACACGCTTAAGGATTCAGTGGAAGCTCTGCCTCCAGCTCGCGCTCGGTGCCTTCGGCCGGGCTTTGGCTACGCTTGCGACGAAGTGTTATAAAAGCCAGAAATCTTACGCTTGAATCCACGAAAATCTTAACCTGTCACCGAACAGAGGGGCCATTGTGATTTCCATCATTCAGCTGGATTGCCATAAGCAATGACAACTATACACCAGCTCATGCGCCTGACATCACACCAGGACGATGCTGTCCAACTAAGCAAGCGCAAATGCTTCACAAAAAAAAAAAAAAACAACAACAACAACAACAACAACATTTTGTTATGTGAATGTACGATGGGCAGACATGCTTGTTTTTGAACAATGATCTTGTGAGTACTTTCCCAATAGCTGCTCTTAAAGCTTCTTTTGCGCAAGGTATCACACTATGTTTAAAAGCTAGTACGCCCACCGTAGGAGGAAGAAGTCTTGTTGGAGTACCAGTCTGGCCATCCTGGGCACGCTTTGGCAAGGCTTGACTATCAGACGATCTGCACACACCATTAGTATGGTGCCTGGAACGCGTCTCCGACTGGTGTGTTTACCGCGCCCAAAAAGTGGTCCCTCAATTTCCGCCTGATGACGTCATAGAAGTGTCATGCTGTCGCCGGTCGCGACCCTGGTGGTGTCTCAGCAGCTGTGGTGGATGTGGCAGACGCCTGTTCTGCTGCAGGTCGCTCTCCACTGTGACAGTCCACGGAAGCTACAGCAGCCGAAAGTTGGGACGCCTGGGACGCCGCGACGACAGCGACACTCGCGTTGGCTCGCGCTTCTCGCCAGCATTTCTACAGCCAACCGCTAGGATCGCGACAGTCTACAGCATGACACTCCGGCTCCTGTGACGTCATTTGTTGCCCCTTGGGGACCACTTTTGATGTATGGGCACCATAGGACGCTAAACACACCAGTCGGAGGCGCGTTCCAGGCACCATACCACCAGCAAGACGGCGGCGCCCAGAGTCCGAACTTTGCAAACATGTATAGACAAGAGGAGAAAGCTGCTTAGTAGCTTGAGGTATTGTTTATCTACTGTACCCACGCTGCTGTGAACCGCGAAGAACTTATCTAAAGCCTGGTTCAGACAGTTGCGTTCAGAGTGACCAAAACGACAGCGACGACAAAATCTCCGGGACAACTGTTCGCCGTACAGAACGTGGCAGGCCATGCAATAATTAGTTTCGGCGAGCAGACGAGAATCTCAGTCATTTTGGTTGCTGCACACAACCGATGCAAATGTGCGACCAGTCTTCGGGAATCTGCATTAGGAGAAAAGAAAAACGAAAAAGAAACTGATCACGCTTCTCGCTCTTCTTCGCAGATGCGCTACAGCCAGATGAGCCCCATCATCTGCGTCGGCAAGGACGGCAGCGTGGAAGAGATCCACTACAACAACCGCACCCTGGCCCCCATCCAGGCCCCGGCTCACCTGGTGGCGCCTTTTTACCACGCGCTCAAGTGAGTGAGTTGGTCATCCGTCACGACGGTTTGCAAAAGCGGAGGTCGTCACGAGTTCGAGTGGCTGTTTTCTTCGTAAAACAAATATAATAAAAGTAAAGTGTAGGTCTTGTACTTATGGGAGCGGTGAAATGAAGTTGCCGTAACGCATTTTCTAAGCAACGGATCCGGATACCAGATTTTCCCGTTTTGATATTTCCGTTTTCATCTAATCCGCTGTTTTTTTTACTGGTCCGTCTTAACATTTTCATACTATATACATTTGCAGCGCTCTCGCGGCATGGGATATTGCACAGAAGAGAGCGAATGCGCATGCTCATAACACGTTTCACAGCCCAGTAGATAAAGATGGCAGCAGGCAGAAGGCGAACATTGTTATGGTCTATAGGTGAAATAATGACTTGACCTCGCTTTTTCGGAAGATTGAATATCCGTGGACCTTTGAAGCGACATCTTTACGTGGTGTGCCTCCATGGGCCGTTCTTGCTCGTGTTGGTCTCACACCGCATGAGGTCAGAAATGACACGTGATTTCAGCATGGCATCGCGTGACGCCGCGACTTGAAGCTATGGCGTCCACACTTCACCGCTTAATTTAGCGGGAAAATCGTGAACTCATGTCGCGTGACCCTGAGTAGCCATGCAACACACTGATGTCACGTGGCACCACGATGACTTGCCGATAATATTTAGCGGAGAAAATGATGTCATGTGACGTTACCACGTCATGTGACCTCAGGTCATGTGACGTCGATTTCCCATCAAGAACACAATCAAGACCTTAATTGCGTTTGAAGAAATGTCCAAGCGTGTCGATTCTGTACATTCTTTGGGGAGTTCTGTCTGCGTGAGTGACCTGTTGCGCGCGTCACGATCCGCAGGGAGTTCGCCAACAAGATGCGGGATCCGGGCTCGGAGCTCTCCTTCCACATGGTCCCGGGAGACCTGGTGGCCTTCAACAACCGCCGCGTCCTGCACGGCAGGACCAGCTTCGACTCCACCAAAGTGATGAGGTACGCACGGAGCCGGTCGGTGTTCGCCAGCGGGAAGACGCGAAACAGCGCCTGACTTTACTCCGTTGCAACTCAAGAAGGTAGGGCGAGGGAAATGAAGGCTGGGAGGAGGAAGCAGACGGAACGCTAAAGAAGGAAGGAGGTTTCTCCCTCTCTTCTCCAGCGTTCCGCCTGCTTCGTCCTCTCCAGCCTTCCTTTCCCTAACCCTACCTTCTTGAGTTGAAACAGACTATAGAACTGCCCCCATGGCAGCTTTCGCAACGCATTGTGTATACTTCACGTCAGCTGCCGTTGCGGTGGTGTTGCTGCTGAGCGGATACCTCCTGCGGGGTACGTTTCACACCATCAAATTTGTTTCTGATTGGATAACAATGCTGAAAAACGCGGTCCATCTTCGGTTACTAATATTGGCATACAAATCTTGGTGTATCATATTGGATACGAAGTAGAACGTCAATCTTGACATAGCATGGAAGTAAACCTGAACTATCAATTTCTCGATATTGGCATTTCAATTGACCCAGCGTTAGAGTGGGTTGCGCTCCAACCTCCAATGTTGTGCCAACGTTGGGCCAACATTGGTGTGCTGCCTGGAAAGTATAAAATGGCTACCAGTATGATTCAATGATGCCTCGCGCGAGACGTGATAAAGTCATTCCTATCTGTTCTTACGGAGGAGAAATTTTTTGCAGCAAAATGTATGCTGGAGATGGGAAGTGCACGCACACACCGGTGGCAGCTGCTTTATTGTTAATTTGAACACTTAATCACCGAATATCTTTACGGGCACCGAAAGGACATCGGTGTTAACATTCCTGGGGCCCTAATCCGGACACTTGGCGAAAAAGTCGGCGAGAAATCCGGCGGCTCTGATTGGCCGGCACCAAGGCCAAGTGCGGCGTTGGCCAATCACGGCTGTCAGATTTCTCGCCGAGTTTCTCGCCAAGTGTCCAGATTAGGGCCTCTGGAAAGCCGTTGTTTTTCTAGCCTTGTAACAATGAAAACAAGGTTACTTCCTAACAACAGTAGAGATAGTTAGTTAATTAAAAAAAAAGCTATGTTACTCATTAGGTTCGTTTTACTTTTATTTTGCATTTTGTTCGTGTACTGTATGCCCTCTTTACGAGCTAGGTGATGCAACTTTGTGTGTGTGTGTGTGGGGGGGGGGGGGGGGGGTGCGTGCGTGCTAAGCCAATGAGGGGCATCTGGCACGCTTCAGCGGAGGTTGGAGCATTATTTTCGACCGCCTGGGGATCTTTTGACGTGCAAGCGTAATCGCGGTTACACGGCGTATTCTCTGTAATAAGCCCCTGAACACGGTGATGCAGTGAGCGACTATGCAAAAAGCAGGACAAGAATTTTTATCCTATCCCTTATCAGTGAGACGCACGTCGAACCGACATGCCCGTTCCAGGGAGAAATGCTATCACATTGCTAGTAAGAGCGTGGCTATCACTAGATTGAGTGCTCCCAGAGATCCAGTATCAATTGTGACATGCAATCGAGGTTGTTTTTTTTAGAGCGCAGCTCTTAGGCGCCCGTTTCCGGCTTGAGCGACGTCGCCGTCACAGTCGGCGTAACCGCGCGATGTATAATGGGACGTCTCCCATAATGACGTCATACGTGACGTCACATGGTGCCTGAATTTAGCGAAAACATTTCCTCCGCTAAATTTAGCGGAAAAGTTCCCTACTAAATTTAGTGGAAATTTTTCCCGGTAAATTTTGGCGGTGAAATTTTTTTGCTAAATTTAACGGGGAAATTTTTCCGCTAAATTTAGAGGGAAAATTTTCCGCTAAATTTAGCGGGGAAATGTTTTCGCTAAATTTATCCACCAAACGTAGCAGGAAATGTTTTCGCCAAAATCAGCGGGGAAATTTTCCCGCCAAATTAATAGGGATATGGTTCCTCAAAATTTAGCAGGCCATTTCTCCGCTAAATTTAGTTGGTAAAATAAATTTCCTTCCGCACCCTTCCCTACTCCTCCTCAAGAGCTGCGATCAAGAGATTTGTAAAACGTCTTTCCTTTTTTTAGCTAACTTAGAGCAAGACGTAAGAACCAACGCATTATTGTTCGCGCTTTTATTGAGCAAACCGAGATAATTTTGGGATGTGCCAAAGTGGCTAAGTAAACAAATAATAATTAGGTAATTTTTTTCGATATTAATTTGTGCGCTGATTCTCCAAAAACAAAAGTTCTATAGAGCGTTTTGAAAACCATCCCACCTTGTCGTTTCCATCAAAGCAGCTTTTCTGTGTGTATGTTTTCTTCTTTAAAAAAAAAATCAAGGAAAATTAAAAAAACTCGCAGATTAATTAATAAAAGTTTTAACTAATTAATCTGTGTAAATTAGCCGATTTGGCACAAAACAAACATTTCTTGACTTGCTCAATAGGACTGCGAACACTCCGTAGCTGAAGCACTTTGCATGGTGTATAATGCTTTCCTTTATGATGCGTTTGATGATTCCACAATAATTCTCAGTTTAATTTCTTTTTTTTCACCAGGCACCTTCAGGGCTGCTACGCCGACATCGACGAGGTATTCACGCGCTACCGGGCCATGCACAGCCAGAGGACCAAGTGACGGAGCTTACCAAAGTCGCCCTGCTAACTTATTACGACCAGAGTCCCCAAAGATGGAAGTCTTCTACCTCGACACCAGAGCGCTGCGCAAAGGACGCGCAGTACCTGGCGCTATTCAGTTGCCAGCTTTCTCTTATTTCTTTCATTTTCATTCCTGCCTGCCACCTGGTACACATCCCCCCGTCTCCAGAAGGCAGAGGCAGTGTATACTTGACTGTCCCCACTTTGTACGTGCCCAGCGAGTAGCCGTGTGCACAATGGGGTGTTTCGAATAAATTGATCAAGTCTTTCTGCTCTCTGCTCTCCTTATCGACATCGAAAGAGTGAAGACAGCTAATGGCCTCGCCATTGTGTCTCGTCTGCGGGAAACGGTTCGACACTTGTCCTTTTTTTTTCATTTTGTGTGTGTTGGTGAGAATAACTAACAGCACACTGTTGGTAATACTTTTTGCACCACTCTTCGTGGTTTTAAAGCTTTATTATCTCGCCGACTTGAGTAATTGCCCTATGGATGGATGATCAGACGGTAGGGGCAACGTTCTTCGTATCTGACAGGAGCTTGTGGGTATTAGGTGTTAGTTATCCAACGTTGGGCGCCCGTCCGCCCTGGCCGAATTTCTCCGCTGTAGAGGAGACGGGAGGCGCTACTTTTTTAAACTTCCCGCTAAAACGAATGTCAAATTCCTTCGCACCTTCCTTTTCCAGAAATCCTCACAAAGGTAATAAGTACCACTCCCAAAACGCGCACATAACTCGCTTATCATAAACATGAAGAATCGGTACAAGGATGTGCGCAGTGGAGCCGAGGATTGATCGAATCAACAGGTATCAAGTCATGTAGTAGAGTGCTACCGCCCTTCCCAGATGGCGCTGTCGGAGGAAGATGTTCTCTATTTCCTCGATAGGTGGCGGCACTAGTACTGTGCGCTAAATGCTTTGATTGAAGTTTACGACACTGGAGGATCGTCGCTCGCTGCTAAATGAATCAGCTACCATAACGTTCTGGAGCATAAAGGGACAGCTTCGTGAATGCTACGTGTTACGTGCAGACAAGTGTAGCACGAGAAGATCATCCAATGCTTCCTTTCGGATGATCGATGTTTTGTGGTGGGAAATGTAGCTGTAGCAGGAAGTTTGCAGAAGGCAAGAGTTTGCAACAGGGAAGAAAGAAGCAACGTGAAATTTTGATGCAATCTCCAAAGCAAACGGACTATCGACAGAAATGCCTACATGAAGCGAACCCGACAATGATTCCACGATAGCTACATGTTTGAACAAACACGTAGCGCCATCTCTGGTGTGATATGAGAATTGGAACAGAAGCATCTGGACAGCGAACGGTCGCTATAATTTGACACAAGAGATTTTATTTCTTTTATTTCCCGAACTTTTTCTCAGGTAGGTTTAGATATCAAATTTAATAAACCCTTGTTCAGTGCGTAATCATATTTGTTCAAAGAGCACGTGGTTAGTTCTGTCAGACGCTCATAGATGTCCCCAGGATTAAGACATAAATAGCCACATTTTGGTGCAGTGGCTGTGTTGGGGGAGGTCACGTGAAACACATAAAAGTCAAATTTAAAACATCTGAACAATTTACTGACCGTGAAACGTGCCTTCATGTCTACTTAGATGTACGAGATACTGGAGTAAAAAAAAAATCAAAATGGCTCACAGAAAACGAGAGGGCTTCCTTGTTCGGTATTGCCATCAAATAAGAACTTAAAATATTAATGTAAATCTGACATGTAGATGCGCTTAAAGCCAATGCAACTTTAGCCTTCATCAAATGTTCTTGTAGGCTTTTGCGGCTTACACGACGAGTAGTCACAGCAATGGCCTTTCGAGGTGAAACCACAAGCGAGGTTGGCTACCGAACTGCCACGAAGCATTTCTAGCCGAGCGAAAACAATATATCAGGAAGAAATTGCGGTGCGAGGAGGGTGGGCAGTGGTGACGTTTCGAACCAGTTCCTTTCTCGTTTTCCGACGGTGGCCCAGCGGTGGCCCGACCTGTAGCGCCATCTCTGGCCTAGAAAAGAAACCCGAGCCTCTTTCTTTCCTCGTATCTGTCCTCTCGGCGTAACCTTTATGAATACCTCGCACCTGAAGACGGATCGAACTTCTAGCTGATAACTTGAGAGATAAGGTCGGGAATTACAAAATCCCGGAATGCTTGAGGCACACGGATGCAGCATGCAACAGTTTGACTGCTTTGAGTGGAACTTTTGCATCGATACAAGAACGTACACGTGATTCGTGAAAGTGCCTCACCGTTTCTTTTTCTTTCAGTCATTTTTGATGGATGATTTACTGAATTTTTTGCTCGAGAGTATGCGGATGAAATTCAAGCTTCAACTGAACCCACTCTCCTGTGGCCTGGAGCATTCGGTGGGACCAGTCGCTTTCGATCGTCCACTTGTACTAGCTTCAAACCATACGTTTGGAAAATCGATATTACGTTCTAAAAGCTAAGAGAAATAAATCCGACTATTATTATTGGTAATCATCGTTGAGTTTAAGTCAATGGCAGCCATAAAATAGAGACTCCCCACAAGGTCTCCTCGAGGCTCGAACAAACAGAACAAATGTACATACTACTTCGGAGGCTCTTGTACACGTTCTGGCAGAGCAAAGCTACGGTACCATACTTGTATAATCAGGTCGCGTTTATACCCAGTGCATACGAACGCTTTCCGTGCGGTCTTTTAACCAGAACACTGTACAATTCTCACTAGAAACGCGTTCTACCTTGTTAATTGTATAATCTTTTACCTCGGCACAGTCTGATTTCTGTTTTTATTCTCCCTCGGGTAATGCACCTGGGGCATAACGAGACTGAAACTGAAGCGAAAGATATCATTATCTGCGTAGGATAAACTGCTACACAACGTCTTCAGCATATACTACTTCCTTTCATCGTATGTCCGAGCTCGATCGAAGGCATCCACGCAGCCACGAACGCAATCACTAAAAGCGCAAGTCACTGGTCCTTCCCTGTACATGATCGGGGGTAACGACGATTCAACATGTACACCCACACGTGACGAACACCCCGACATTGCTCTTTCGACGCTGTTTGATTGGATCCATTAGCTCGTAGCGTCATCTTACTGATCACCAATCAAGGACAGCGAATGCTCCGTGATCCTGCGCAAGTTTCTGTATGGGATTAACCGGGGACGTCAAACGCACAAAGGCGACGAGCGTCATGACGATGCAATTTTGGTGCGTGCCGTTCGATTGGCTACATCGGATTGCAGGCGATGGCTGCGGTAGGGTACCTGATGTGAAATAGTGACAACTAACTCCGCAATCGAATCTCGGTGTATACCTCGCACTTTCTCGCGCAGACATCTCGGCAGAGTCAAAAGCGTCGGCGACAGCGTCGGCCGCCGCTTTCGCGTCTACACTCGATACATTAATCACCCTCGATCCCATTGCGGCGAGCTTTACACTGGCAGCGAATGTTCGCGTGCGCATCGTACAAAACCGGCACATGTTAATTGCAGGAAAGACGTGGCCACCGCACGGGGCTGACTCGATGTGCCAGCGAAGCGAGCAGGCCACATCAGCAAACGTTCCTCGCGGAAGAAGAAACCAAAAAGAATAGAAAAGCCGGCCAAGGGGCAGCGTGGCAGCAGCAGCCAGCTAGCTAGTGAAACCAGTTCCTTCGTTTTATTATGGACATTTTTTCGCGCCTCCAGTCACGTGGTCAGCTGAATCGTGGAGCCCACATCAAAGTCACTGACCTCCTGGACTCCTCGCGTTCGGCGGCGGAGCGCCGTGTACTCCGCTTCGCCGCGTATGCGTTGGCAAACCGGCTACTGCGAAGAGCCAATCGGAGCGCCGGAAGCGAGGCAACGTGACGACCTTATCGTCCCGCGGGGAGCTGTCACGTGATCCGCTACATCGCTCTGATTGGACCGAAGGGGCCATAAGCGTCCGCACTTTGCCAGGTTAGGCAGGAACAGAATGTAGCAGGCGTCCGTCCTCCGTGCGTCTGTTTTCGCGTATGCGAATATACGCTGACGATTGTTTAAAGATGGGAACGGAGTTTGATGCACGCGAAGGTGATTTTCTGGGTGATTTTTGTTTTACTTTTTTTTCCTTCTTTCTACATGGCGATGACCAAAACCGGTTAGAGCCGGATTCTGGTCCTCCCAGCACTGTGCGTAATCGTGCAGGCTTAAACGCAGCAATGCAGCCGTGGCGTACCCGCGCCGAGCGCGCCGAGAATGTCCTTTCCGAGGACTGCGTATCGGCAGATGGGAGATTTCGGTTTTCAGGTGCCGGAACTTCGCTCGTAGGGGGATCTCCTCTCTGTGCCCGAGTGTGCGCTTTTGTTTCACCACTGGTTTCTACGGGCCACGTGGCCTTTCTCTCGAGCACGTTTAAATGGTGAACGCTGCGTTCGGTATACAGTATAAGCCAAAATATAGACCAATCTCACCAAGCGTTCGGCACACGCGTGAAGTCGCCGTAGCGTTTAAAAGGGTACGGAAACGAAATGGACGTGAGAGCGAGCTCTCTATCCCTTGCTTCAAAGTCGACCAGCGAGAAGCGCAATGCGTATCGCCCTCGTGACGTCAAGTGTTCCTGCACGGTCAAGGGTATACCATAGTTGAGAGCCTTGCCGCTTGGTGGCGTCCACGCGTGACTATCTCCGTTTTTGGGCTATAGCGAAGATACGGAAGAGCAAGTCTCAGTTAAGAAGAAAGTTAAGGCCACAGAAAGGGATTGGTGGCTAGAGGGAATGCAGACAAAGACGGCTCTGGAAAGCTATAGATTAAACAAAAGAGTTATTGCCAAAGAAAGCATTTATGACAATTCTAGGGGAAGCTCATTGCTGTTTGAGGCAAGAACGGGTGTTCTGCGAACCAGAACATACAGAGTGAAGTACCAGGAAATTGATACAGTGTGCACTGCTTGTGGAGAGGAGGACGAGACGGCTGAGCACTTGATACTCTACTGTAAAGGGCTTCACCCTATGCCTACCGAAGACAACATAGACTTAATAAAGTCATTGGGTTTTAGAGACAGCGAAGGGAGAGTGGATTTCAAGACTGTAGAGATTACCAAGCAAAGATTAAGTGAATGGTGGCAGAAATCGAGAGAAAACTAGGTATTTTCTTATCCACTGATGGCAAGGGGGTTTCATAGCCTCACTTTCTTTGCACTGCGGAGTGAATATAGATTTCACATTTAAATATTCTAAGCTTAAATGGTAAAACAAAATGGCTAGGTGGCGTAAGCTACCGCCCGATCCAAAGGGCTCAGCCGTATTCATCCATCCA